CGTTTTATAATATGTCTGCTTAAAAATAGTTTTAAAATGGCGGGCGGCCGGGGGGCGGAGCGGTTAAGTGCGCGCGCTCAGCTGCTGCGGCCAGGGGTTCGCAGGTTTGGACCCCGGGTGCCGACCAACGCACCGCTCGTCAGACCACGCTGTGGGGCGCCCCATGTACAGTGGAGGCAGATGGGCACAGATGTTAGCTCAGAGCCGGTCTTCCTCAGCAAAAGGAGGAGGATTGGCGTGGATGTTAGCTCAGGGCTGATCTTCCTCACACACAAAAAAATAGTTTTAAAAGCTTTTTGAATACTGGAAGCATTAAAGTTACACTAAGGTTAAATGATGGATGTTCATTGACTATCTAGATCATTTACAAATAAGATAAAATACTGAAATATTAATTACTAAACATAAGGTTATCTCCTTGGCTTCTTAATTTTTACATAGAGACTAAAGATATTTAGGTTAGTCAACATGTCCTTTGCCACATTGAAAAACTGCTATAAGGAAGCGTGTGTCTCTAGAAACTGTGAAATGGTGTGTTCATAAATTTTCTAATTTACTACAGAATGTTGGGATGTATTTGACATAAATGTTGGTCTGTCTACAGTTTACAATTGGTTGCTTCCTAGTTTTCACCAGAAATTAGGGTTATGAATTACAATAAATATAAGTAAATGAAACTATTATGAATAATAAGGGTACAGAAAAGACTCTTACACAAAGTATGCCAGGAAAATAAGATGTGTTTTTTATTTTTATTTTTTTGGCGAAGAAGATTGTCCCTGAGCTAACATCCGTGCCCATCTTCCTCTATTTTGTATGTGGGATGCTGCCACAGCATGGCTTGAGGAGCGGTGTGTAGGTCCTTGCCCGGGACCCTAACCTGAGAACCCCGGGCTGCCAAAGTGGAGCATGTGAACTTAACTGCTCTCCCACCCGGCCGGCCCCAAGATGTGTTTTTGGCAGGAAAAGCATGAAGTGTGAAGGATGCATTCTTGTGAAGAGGAAAGGAGAGTAATTTTGTCCTAGTTTAAGGGTATTTAAAGACTGTTTCAAAATAAGAAAAACATGACAACAACCTAAATGGATATAGAAAGTTGGAGAGGGAGAAAGCAAGAGAGAAAATCTTATCTTATGTGGTCAAGCTGGCAAAAATTAAATGGATTTGTTATAAGAGCTTTAACAATGAGCTTTAATATCAATAGTGTGCCTGTGCAAAACTAGAATTTGATTTTCTTCCTCTGTTAAAGGACACAATTATCTTAAATTATTGTAAAATATTTTTCTTTACCTGTTAAGTAATTCACATAGAAAACAAAAGATTCTGTGTTTTATCAAAGTGTTGTCTCTATCACGTCTTTAAATATGTAGGAAAACTGAGTCTTCTCAATATTAAAAGAACTAAGGTGTTTTTTTTTCAACTATGTAATTTACTGTATTTGCCTTTAAAATCTTTCATTGTCCCTTTAGTGAAATGGGTAACTAAGTATTGTTTCATAGTAATCTGTCATCCTATTTAATCAAGCGTTCAAATCTTTGACATTTTTTGACTAACTTCCCAAAATCAAATTCTAAATTTTACCTGCCCTACCCCGTGTTTCCTCTTGACCTGTGGCTGAAGTTTTAGAATTGAAGCGGTAACCTCTGTGTCTGCGTGTTTGTCTGTAACTCAGAAAGGCCTTCACTTCCCACCGAGTGAGTGAGTGTGCGGAGCGTCTGCATCAGCAGCTGTGAAGGGCGGGCTCGGGGGCGACAATCCGCGCGCTTGCTCACCGAGCTGTGCACCTGCCGGGGGGGTGGGCGGGCCTTGCAAATTTGATGGACTGTGAATATGCTGTTACGCTATATTCCAGAAGGGATTCTGCAGGCATGATCACCGAGTCGTGTCATGAAGGGGGACTGGCAGTGCCCTCACGGTCATGACACGCTGCTGTCCTCACTTTCTTGCGGGTGCACTGCCTGGGGTCGGGCGACACAGCTCGGTGTTATCAGTCATGATGCCAGTTGTTCGCTAAAATGCTAACCTGGCCGGGATCCCACCAAGTTGCCTTTAGTCATCACCTGTCCTTGGTCTCCTCTGGTCTGTGACACCTGCTTGGGGTTTCCTTGTTTTTCACGACCTTGATAGGTTGAACAGCACCGGTCAGGTATTTTGTAGACTGCCCCTCAGTCGGGGGTTGGGTGAGGTCAGACTTGGGTTCCTGTCTCGGGGGGAGCCCGCAGGGTGGAGGGTCCTCTCTGTGTGTCTCGGGGGCCCGTAACACACCTGTGACTTGCAGTGGTGCCGCGCACCAGTCCGCGGTTCTGGTGCTGTGCTGGCATCTCTACTCCACAGCGAGTGGTGATGTCACTTGTCCTCTTTGGAATCGAGTTACACGTCCAGTCCACTCTGCAGGCAGGCGGAGGGAAGCTGCCCTCCTGGAAGAGAGACCTGCGTGTGCGGTTTCACCCGCCGGTTTCAAGAGACCAAGTTTGACTCCTGAGAGCCAATGCTGCCCAAGGCCTCGCAGGAAACCCGGCCGGTACCTGGCTGGCAGGTTGGTCTTACAGGTCGAGCCTGGCTGACCGAGATCCTGTGACATTCTGGGGACATCAAGAAGAGAGGAATTTACCAAAAGGCATGAATACTGCCGGTGAAACCTGGGGGAATTTCTCCCAGTGCAGTTAGTCGATGATAGAGGCTTTTAAAGTCCAACCTGCGATTCCTTACAGAAGATTCCAGCAAAGCAAACTGAACACCAGCTGCACTGTGTCAATAATTAGGGCAAGTCCAATGAGACCTGCCAAGGAAGGTCTTTGAGGTGATTTTTAACAGAAGGGAGAACTCAAATACTGACCCATAAAATAGGAGGAAATCCTGTCGTTTGTGACGACACGGGTGAACCTGGAGGACACTGCGCTCAGTGAACTAAACCAGATGAAGACAGAGACCGGATGCTCTCACTTGTGTGTGGAATCTGGAAAAGTCACGCTGGTAGAAACAGAAGAACGTGGCTGCCTGGGGCCGAGGGGCGGGGAATGGAGACACGTGGGAGGGGCACAGATTCCCTGGCCACGAGCCCTGCTGCGGCTCTGGCTTTCGCGCACAGCGTGGCGGCCGGCGGGCTGGCGCCCTGTTGTGAACGGACAGCTGCGAAGCCATCGGGGCTGCAGCCTCTCGCCACACACAGAGGCGACCACGTGAGGGGACGGAGGGGTCAACTCCCTGCATGGTGGTCCTCAGGTCACAAAGTGACTATATCTGATCATCACATTGCACACCTTCAATATGTGCAGTTTCGTCAATTACACCTCAATAAAGCTGGCGGACCCCCCAACATCTTTCGTCTTTTGCTGAAGATGGTGTTTAAGGTGGTGGCTTAGGCCATTTTGGGGCATTTTACTCAGTTTTCCTGGGTATCTCACATGTATACAGGAGGTACATGTTCGTAAACTCTGTTTTTCTCGTTAATCTGTCTTGTATTACAGGGGTGTCGACACAAATAATCCATAATCAATCTATAAATCAAAATTGAGGTGACTTTATTATGGCCAGATCTGAGGACTGAAGGAAGTGGAGGGAACCCAAGAAGTGGGGTGTACAGGGTGGTTACTTACCGTCTCAGAACAAAGAGCATGTGTCACATATGATGGAAATGTCCCTTTACTGCTGTCACGAGATGCTTAGCAGGCACAGCAGGCTGGCGGTCAGCAGGTCAGTGGTCACAAGGGGAGCCCAGCAGGTCAGTGACTAGTCCTTAGTTCCCAGGAGGAGATGCTGATCCTTAAGGAAATGCCAATATGGGGGAAGCCACATCCCTATCCTCAAGGGCATCCGTCTTGTCTTTGGCACACAGTAAATGCCTAAAGCAGACGTGCAACGCATGCCCCACAGGCCACGTCAGGCCCTTTCAGAAAAACAAGGTCAGGCCGAATTAGTTTTCAACCGAATGGCTTCCTCACATACTCCAATGTATCCTATTGCTTGTCATTTATCCATCAGGGGGTCTCAGCCACAGAACCTAGCAGGGTAGACGGAAAATAACTTTTCCTCTCCTCCAACTGTCATCAGTAACCCTTGTGGCTGCTGAGCATTTGAACGTGGTTAATCTGAGCTGAGATGTGCTGTCATGTCAAATACACACCAGTGAAGACTTAGTATGAAAAAAGAACATACACGATCTCACTGAGATTTCTCATATCAATCACATGTTGAAATGATAATGTACCAGATATATAGCAGGTTAAATAAAATCTATTATTAAACTTCAAAAAAAAAAATAAAGCTGGGGGTAAAAAAAGGAACAACTGCACCCGCTTTTGTGAGAAAGTCAGTTGTGCCTCTATTTGCACGATCATTTCAATATTCCTGATCTACAAATCTGCCTGATCTTTGGATTCTCCTCTGAACATCTGACCAGTTTCCCTCACTAATCATGAATTAAATACAATCGTTAACACATATTCATTTCACATCAGTGTGAGAATCATATGAGTTTTCCTCCTTGAAAATTATCCTATAACACACCCTGTTGTTCTCAGATGCCTCAGCCTGGCATTCTAGCTCCAGATTTTGCTCCTGGCTGGCCTTTGCACACTCTGTTCCCCTTTCCCGGAACACCACAATTCCCCCCCCAACTGAACACATTCTTCAAAACTCCCCAGACAAGGTCTCTGCCCCATCCTCTGGTCTTGCCTGGCCCCAGTTCCCATCCTCCGGCTCAGCCCATTTTCACCCAGTGTGTGGTTAGCAAAAGGGGGTGGCAAGGGATGTTTGCTGAATTATTGAATGTAGTTCCTGCCTAACGAACTCCTAGTCACCCTTCAAAACCTCAGCCCCAATGCCCTTCTTCCCTATGCAGAGCCTTCACTCCCACTCTGGGCTCCTCCAGACGTGGTCTCTCCCTCTGGCCCATCGCTGACACCACAGGACTAGAGATGTCTGCCTGGCTCTGCATCTCTGAACAGGGGGCTCTCATGGGTCCCAGCATTTGCCCAGGTCCAGAAGAGAGAAATTTGCTGACTTATCAAATGAATCACAACATCCAGAAGTGTTTATTAAGCTAGTTTCAATGTAGCACCATTCCCAGCGGGGCAAGATTCTTGCTCTTGGGGTGGAACTTGACTCTGGGCTTCACGGAATGTGTAGGTGTCAGCTGGATGCTGAGCAGTGGCTGGTGAGAGTCGAGTACCAGAGAGGCGAGGGGAGGCGGGATCGAGCTCCCCCTCCCTCGGCTCCCCCGGTGAGGCGTCACTTGAAGCAGACCTCCCTGTGGGAGCTGGCCGTGAGCCGGCAGACGGCTGGCTTCTCGCCCTGGAGGAGACGGTGGTGAGCTGGGCCCGGGAGGAGACTGCCCCGCCAGCAGCACCCCCACCCCCGTCCCACTCACCTGGTACAACTGGCAGACGAGGTACAGGAGCTGGCTCTCATCTTTCATGGGTTTCTGCACAAAGCAAGACGGGAGGTCACACAGCCCCACCTGCCAACCCAACACTCGCCCAGCCGGCAGGGGCGGCCAGCAGCCCCCAGTCTGGTCCTGCCGCCCTCCTCCACATGGGCATCCGTCACCCGGTCCCGGCCCGGGGCGGCCATAGGAGAGTTCTTACCCCGTTGACGACGACCCAGGGCACGTACTCGTGGGGCGGCTGCAGGGCGTCTGTGAGCTGCGCGTTGATGTGCAGGAGCTGCGAGCCGCGGTCCCCCATCGCGCACTCCATGATGGCGTCTGGGGACACCTTCGGGGCATAGATCTGCAGGCACTGGGTGGGGGGCGGTGAGCGGGGCTGTTGCCCCAGCTTCCTCCCTCTTATCTCCCCAACGGTCCCCCCCATACCCCCACGCCAAGCTTCCGCTTCCTCACCCGTGGCAGGGGACAGTTGGGTCTAGGTCAGCACGACAACACCCAAAGATAGCAGGTGCCTAACTTGATACATGCGGCCCGGGAAGCGGGGCTCAGGCTGCTCCTTCCTCCTGTAAGAGCTCACTTGCAGCCCCTGACCTACACACTGGCTCACTGTCCTCAGAGCTTCTGTACACGCTGTTCCCTCTGCCAGAAAAACCCTTCCTCCTCCTTCCCCAGCATCTCCCGAATGCTTCCTCCTCCTCAGCACTCCTCCAGCACCACTGTGACTGCAGGTCTGGGGGGGCTCAGGGTGGCTCAGATCTCTTGGGCGGCCCAGATGTTTGATAAATGAATAAACAATGAGGGCACGAGTCAGTCCTCTGCAAGCTCATTTTCCTACTCCTCCAGGGAAGTAGGCGGGCCTGTCCCCTCATCCCCACACCCCAGAGGAGGCTCAGCATCTGTGTCCCTGCACGTTCCTGTTCATCGTAGACCAGCCCAGAGGCACCTCCTCCAGGAAGCCCTGTCTGATCTACCCACGCCCCCATAAGATCTTTGTGCCCTCAATTCAGAGATGGAGGCTTCCAGAGAGGAGGCCGTCTTCCTGAGGCTACACAGAAAGTGGCAGTTGGGGCCTGGACTTAACGGGGTGTGTCCGGGTGCAGGAAAGGCCAGGGTCCCCCAACCCAGGGCAAATGAGGGGTACTGCTCACCGGCTTCAGATTTGCCTGCATGTCATCCATTTCCTCGATGCAGACAATGGTCAGGAAAGCCGCATCCCTCTCCAGCTGGTCCCACAAGCAGGCCTGGGGGGGTCAGGGGTGGGAAGGACGTGAGGGGGCTTAGCGCACCCCAAGATCACTCTGGGAAACTCCCAGGCGTCCCCTAAGGAAGTGGTGAAGCACCTGTGATGAAATGGAGGCGCGGGCAGCACGCAGCCTTCCCCGGGGTCTCCCGCCTGGGGCCCTGGGCGCTCACCTCCACCTTGTTCAGCTTGCACTCCTCCAGGCCATGCTGGCACGTGAACTCCCACTTGCCGCTGACGTTTCGTTCCTGCAAGGCGGCGGGTGAGCGCTGGCATCCCCGGCGCCCTCCTGGTCATGCCCCTGGCTCCCCCAGGCCCACACACCTGGGCGTTTCCATATGGCACCAGCGTGACGTTGAGGATCTCCAGGACCATCAGCCACGTCGGGAAGAGCTCTCGGATCAGGAAGGCCCGGCAGCCGGGGCACAGCGCCTCGTAGTAGAGACTCACGTTGACAGGCGGCGCGGCGGCCCTCCTGAGGGGCGTCTGCAAGCACAGGCCACCAGCCTGTGCGGGAGGAAGGCGCGTGAAGGAAGTGCAGCCCTGCGTGGGCTCTGCAAAAAGGGAGCCGCAAACAGTAGCTGCTTCATCTTGCACTCTTTCCAGACCTTGCCAAGTGGAATCCTGACTCTAAGGCTTTATTGTGTCCCTAAATCTTCTTAAATCTCAGTTTGTCTGCAAAAGGACGTGACAAGACTTGCAAACAGTAGGCACTTAATGTATGCACAGCTCTTGCTTTCCTCCAGCTTAGGTGAAATTCCTCACCTAGGGGCACTGCATGCAGTAAGGACTCAAGGCATGTACATCTCTGGGCGTGGCCCTCAATCCTGCCTTCTCAGAAGTGCATACCACAGGCGACTAATGCATGCTCAGTTGTTGCCACTTCATCCCCAGAGCCTTGGCCCTGAGCTGAACAAGGCCCTACACCCGCGCTGCCGCCTTAGTTATTCTTGCTCTCACGGGCCGGCGGGAACCCGTCCCGAGCCTACTGCAGAGGCGGCGCCTAATACGTGCTGACTTCCGGCTTCAGCTGAGGAAGGGCGGGCGGCCGAGTCTGCGGGGCCCGAGCAAGTGGCCCAGCCTCCCGGGCATCTGCGCTCCGCTCAGACGCACGCGAGCCCCCCGGCCGGAGGCCACCCAGTGAGCAGCGCCTGACCAACGCCGGGGCTGTGGGCAAGCTGATCTGGGCCCCCCCGCCCACAGGAGGAGCCCCCGACTCCCGCCCCCGATGTACACAGAAGGTGCTCAATGCACCCTCGGGCGGGACGGGCTGGGCTAGGGTGGGGGACAGCTGACCGTCTCAACGCGAGATGGGGGAGCGAAACCACTCTGCGAGGCCCCGGCGCCCGGCGGCGGAGAGGGGCTTTCGGCACCGGGCGGGCGGCGTCCGCTGCGGACCCGGTCCCGCCCGCTAAGTCCGGGGGTCGGGGAGCCGGCCCGGCCCCGCCGGCCCTACCTTGCAGGCGGCCGCCCCCTCGGGGAGCGCTTCCCGCGGGGACGCCCGCGCCGCCCCGGGGACTTCCAGCAGCAGCAGCAGCAGCAGCGGTAGGAGCGACAGGAGCGGCGACAAGGCCATCTCGGCGGGAACGAAGGTTCGGCGGCGAGAGCAGCGCTCGGGGAAGGAGCCGCCTTTAATCGGGCGGTGGCCCAGCCCCCAGGCGGGACCCGCCCCCCCCGGTGCCCACGCCCCTCGGGCCGGGGCTGCGTCTCTAGGTGTCTCCACCTCT